CCCCCCCGCCCTCAGCTCGGCCCTCCCCGGTCTCCTCTCTCGTCTTATTTTTTTTGTGTGTCTCCACGCTGCTGGCTCCTGTCCCTGCAGCTCCGTCCCCTCACGCCTGGCGGTTGCTCTCCTCCGTTTCCATCCCCTCTTCCCGCAGTGACCTCCGTCCCTTCCCTGCCTCCGGCTCCGCTTTCTCCGGCGGGTTTTGTGCTCCGGTGCAGTCTGGTCCTGGCAAGAAGCGCACACCGCGGGTGGGAAGCTGTCATGGGAGAGCTTTTCCCCCAGGCTGGTTACCACAGCTGTGGGAGAGATGTGTAACTAGCAGAGCTTGTTTTGTCTTTCCGTGACCTCTACATACATAGGAGAGCTCCTCCCTTTCCCATATTTCGCTCTCTTTCATGCCTTATATCCGACTTCCTGTGTACCTGCAGAAGCATTCCCATTTTTTTTCCTACTTATGGCATGCTGTTGCCTAGAATATACCAGAAGATAGTTTGTGAGGCGAGACACTGAGAAATCTTGCAGCTTAGAAAAGTTTCAATGGAAGACGCTGTCGTTCATATCAGGAAGGATAATAAGTTGTCTTTTATTTTGTATGACTGCTCCTAGGGAGGAGGAGTGTTGTGGAATGAACCACAGTAGTAACTGCTGCCTATTTCAGCATACTAGGATTTTCTGCATTTAATGCTCCTGGGCAAACTGGTGACAGTAATGTAAGTGTTCACACCAGAGTTCATCTGCTCTGAAGCATGCTTAAATACTGGGAAGGACTACTGGAGTTTTTCTAAAATATCCTGGATCTTGAAATACTGGGAATAAAAACTGAATAATATCATGGGTACTAGGAAAACGTAGCTTCACTAAATGAGTAATGTTAGTCAACAGAGTATCCAAAAGTGGGATATACATAACTGTTTACATACGTAAAACTAATTGTGTGAAGTTAAATTGAGAGTTTTGAGGACTGGGTTAAGAAATTTTATGCTGAAGGAATTTTACACTTGCGTATTTGATTACAGATTTTAGAAAAGTCTTTGTAACACAAATTTTTGCCAGAGACGTCATGCTGTAGGTTTAGTAAAGAATTTGCTAATTAAAATTAATTCTCATGGGCAGTCAGTACAGTGTGTTGATAGAGTTGGTGTTCGAGGAAACCAATAGAAAGTTGTAAGTGGGAAAACAAAAGCTTTCATGTTATTACTACTTTACCTTCTGTTACTTTTTTTCCATGGGTTACAATAGATCTGAAACTGGACATTACTATTACTCTGTTTGATTCTGCATAATTTGTGACAGTATTTTTGTGTGTGCATGTGTCAACGGCAGAATGAACTTAGTGGTTGACTACACTTGCTATGACCACTTGTGTTGCACAATTATTTTGAGGGCTTGATTGGGATGAAGTTCCTCCTGGGTTAAGTGCTCTACACCTGCACGGTGTGATATTTGACTGTCATCCAGATGACTGAGAAAAGCAAAAAGGCTGATTAATTACAAACAATGTGTCAAAGGGTGTTGTTTCCTTTACTGTTCCCTGTATCTTATATTTTGTCATATCAGTTTCTTGTGTTCTGAGAGCACCAAAAAAATCTTGTTCAGTGTAATTGTTTGCACTCAGAGATGAGCACTCACCCCACAAGTAAGGGGAAATAGAAGGTTTGTTTTGCATTGCGGATAGAATTTTAGCAGCTGTCATATCTTATTTTGGGGCTCTATGCTCTTTTTTTTTTTTAAAGTTTTACTTAGTTTTTGAGGTGAAGAGATGGGTAATGGGGATAAAGGAGGAAGTGCAGTCTGACTCTGGGTTTGGGGTTATATTTTTCAGCTATCTGACAGTGTCATTGATCGTATGAAGGAACCTTCTTCACCCAGTGGAAGACAGCAGTCTCAGCATCGATCATCATCTGGGGCAGGTACGCCCATATTTTTCTGTTTCCTAATGTGAGGAAGAAAATGAAATCTGCCTTTCAGAGCATTGTAATGAACTAATTGCCATTTCGTAGAGGTGACTTTTTGACAATAACTTTTTTCTCATCTCCTTTTGAAGAAGGAAGTAGTTTGTAGGCTTTTAGAAGAGTTAAATTACTTTTTGTTTTCTTCTGGCTGACATGAAAGTGTAAACCACAACTTTTTATTATACTTAGTTTCCTATGGTATTTCCCCTTGTTAAAGACTTTTTAAAAAAAAAAACAAACCAAAACCAACAGAAAAAGCAAATATCCATTCCAAATATGTATTGAGTTCTGAATTGAAAATTCTTGCATACTTAATCAACACTGACTTTTAGTATAGTGAGCTTCTGTTAAAATATACTTAAGCAAACATTAAAAGAATAATGTGCTATTTTCCTATTGTGGAATAGTGGAAATAAGTCACATACAGTTTATACAGATCGATGGCTCAAAATGATGGCTTTGTTAACTTTTTGTATTTCATTATTGAGGCCTGTTCAAATGCATCAAACAGGCTTCGTGCCAGGCAGCCTGTACTCTAATTTAAAATACTTCAGCACAGTGAACACGATGTAGCTACTGAAGAAGTGAAAATGAATGGCAGAGATTGGAGCGTGAGATTTATGTTTGTCGACTATGTGAAACCTGTAAGGTTCAAGTAAGGCTTCTTATCAGTGCTCCAGAAACATTAATGATACCAGTATTCCCTAAGGGCCTTTTGCCTTGATACTTACAAAAAATCCCACCAAAACAACACTCTGATTAAAAACAAGTCCTGTGGCAGTAGAGGGCCTTGCAGCAAGACTTGAATGAACAGAATATAGCATCTTTCTTTCATCTGAAGCACAGAAAGTTGGTTTCCTGTTGCTTAATTGAAAGTGTCTATGGTGTAGGTGTCTGTATCTGAGCTGGACTCCCTCTGTAGTCAGTAGAAAGAAAAAGACATTTTGGGGGACAATTCCTCTGGTTTATTTGAGAATCCTGCTTCAGGATGAGGTGAATTGCTCTCTAGGAATTCCGGGGTGAAGAGTTCAGATGTAAGCATCTAAGGATGTCAAGTAAATCCAACGCAGGATGCTTTACAAAGATCGGGGCTCCCAAATGATGCTATTTTAGAGGTTTGTTTTTCCACTTTATGAATAGGAAGAATGTGGCACAGTGAAGGCAAGGAAAATATCAGTGCTAAAAATGACTTAAACTGTTACCTGGCTTGTGAAATGTAGTTTGCCTAATAAAATTGCTTAGAATTTAATGCTTGATTAAGTGAGGTTTGAATGGAGTAGGGCTGTAGTTTCATGCATGGACTGCCAGATTGTCCATCTTTCTTCTTCTTCTTTTTTTTAAATAATAGCATTCTCACTATGTACATGTATTTTACTATGGTGAAGAAATTATTCTAGATAAAGGATTTTTGTGAAATAATACTTGCACGTCCTACCTACTTTCACAGCAGCGCTTGTTCCCTTTTCATCCTTACACCTGAGTTATGGAAGTAGTCTTGTGAGTAAGCATCTGTGATTTTTGGGGTGTGGTGACTAGAGATAAAGGCTGTAATACCCCAGCAATTCTTTGCTAATTCACAGTATGTACATATCTTGATCCTTTATTTTGTTTTTCTTTGTGTGTTGGAAATAGTGCTTTTTTATTTTTTTATTTTTGTTTATTGAAAGGCTTAATGAATCACTTGACCGTTCGTGAGCTTGGGAAACCTTACGTGTATTTTTGCTTTAAGAACTAGTGATTTAGGTGAAGTGCTTGTATTTCCCCAGGAAAGTATAATCAGTGTTATACCTCAGTTGCTAAAATGATTTGTATTTAAGAGGATTAAATTATACTTAAGTACATGTTACCATACCATCCATTCCTCTTTCACTGAATGTTTTTTTGATGAAGAACTGCAAACTGTTGAACTTCTTTGATGCTGTAGGAACAGTCAACCTCTTTGTTTATTTTGTAGCTACATCTAACTTGTCAAGAGTCTGCATTTGTCTCATGAGGTGTCATTACATGAAGGGTATTCACTTCAAAGCTAGTGCTCTGATCACTTAATATTGTACTATTCTGGTTAATGGCTGTGGGGGCTGGATCCCAAATCTGGGCATCTTCCTTCTGTGATGCAGCAATGCTGGGGCTTGGTTTCTTGTTAAAGCCTCTTGCACCATTAATTAGAGCTCTCTCCGGGCAGCTCCTCCTGTCCTGTTTATGAAGCTGGTGATAGTGACTCATTTTTCCTGACAGAGTGGATCACTCACTGTTTCTGAAGAGAGTTATCCAAGGATGGTGGTGTTTGGAGGCTGGCTCTGGCTTTTGGATTCCCAGCTGGGCAACTTTCGAACTTGACAGTTTGTTAGTCTGCATTAATATCTTTGTATATTCTAGACAAATAACACTTTTCTACAAAAATAAAGAAGATGTCTAGAGGGAGAAACATTAGAGCTATTAAAACCAGCCCTTTCTTTATGTCAAGTCTCTGATAGCTTTTGGTAGAGGAATAATGGATTAGATTACATGAAAGAATGTGTATCTTGTTGCTTGCCAATATATGATGAATTTATTGACTTCAGTTTGGGGTCGGAAGATGAAATTACATACACTTACAATGAAATCTGACATCTAAATACTACGTCTTAAAGCATCCTAGCTTGCTTGGATCATTTTCTGACTTCTGAGTAATATTAAATGCACTAAAATATTTAACAAGTGTAAAATCTTTAAAGTATGTCTGTAATTCCTAAAGCAATATTGATGAAAAGTAATTTGGTCAGACAATGAGTTTGTACTTTTTGTTTTTTTTCTTTTTTTTCTTTTTCTGAGTGTATGTTATACCTAAAGCTTTAGTCATAGCACACAAAGGGAATGGTTTAATTCATTTTAGCTTAGTGGATATCTGAAAAGCTAATAGTCTATTATGGAAAAAAAAAAAAAAAAGAGCAGCAAATGCTTAAATTATCAAGAGTCTCTGCATCTCAGACAGCCATTTTTTTCCCTTTGCAGAAAGAGATTACACTGAGGACACAGAGGATTTTTCTCTCTCTTTTTTTTTTTTTTAAACTGTATTATTTGTTGTTGTTACTATACTGTCCTCATGAAAACAAATCAGTAAAGGATCCATGTCATAAGGTACTATGTATTGTGTAGGTGTGTAATAAAATGAGCACTGCTGATGCCTTCTGAGAAATTGGGTTAGACCTTGCATATTTCCAGTGGAGAAAGTCCTATTTTGTAGCTTTGTTCATTTGTGTGGAATGATGCCTTTTAATTGTGTACTCTGTTGTGTTCGTGTCTATGTCTTTGGTGGAGTTTCAGTGGCCCAGGCTATCTTGGCTCAGTTGGAAACATATAAGGAAGTATTGTTGAGATGTACAGGAATGAGTGTTTGAAGAATTAGATTCTAGTTGGAGATGCAACCATGATTTAACGGAACTTTAGGAGAGCGAACTTCAGCTTATAAAGGGAGCTAGTTGGTGGGATCCCATAGGAAGCAGCTCTGAGGGATAAGCTCAGGAAAGCTGTGAGGTCCTTAAGGACAACCTCTTCCTGGTGCAAGAACGGTCCATTCCAGTACTCAGGAAAATTAATAGGTATGTTGGGAGGCTGGTCTGGTTAAACAGGGAGCTCATGGTAGAGCTTCAGCGTAAAAATGAGGTCAGCAGGAGGTGGAAGCAGAGGCAGACTACTAAATGAGTGGATTTGTGGATGAGAGGAGGGCAGTAGGTGTCATTTACCTCGACTTCAGCAAGGTGTTCAACACTGTCTCTCCCAATATTCTTGTATCCAAGTTAGGATGTTGCAGTGTGGGTAACTGGACAACAAGTTGGGTTAAAAAAACGGGCTGGATGGTCAGGGTCAGAGGGTTGTGGCTAATGGGTCATACTGTATCTGGAGGCTGGTATCGTGGGTTTCTGCAGGAGTTTGTCCTGTTTAACAGCTTTATCAATGTCCTGGAGGAGGAGGTGCAGTACATACTCTTCAATGCAGATGACCACAAACTGGGGGGATGCAGTCAATACGTTCGAGGGCAGGGCTGCTATCCAGAGGGACCTAGAGTGGCTGCAGGAATGAGCCAACAGGAACCTCATGAAATTCCACAAGGACAAATGCAAAGTCGTGCACTAGAAAAGGAGCAACCCCTTGCCACAGTGCAGGCTGGGGCCTGCCTGTCTGGGCAGTAACTGTTGAAAAGGAGCTGGAATGAGTTCAGCAAAGGTCAGGGGCTGGAGTGCCTTCCCTGGGAGGCGCGACAAACTGATCTGGTCTGTGGACCACTGGTAGCCTGGAATGCCGTGATTTGCATCTTATAGAATAATATTGGGTTTGTTTTTAATAGTACGCTTGTGGTTTTGTTTTGATTTCCCTTTGACCTCTGGAGATGTGGGGGGGAAGTTTTTTGAAGGGATGCAGAGATATTTGTGAGAAATACTGATGACTTGTGATAGGCTTTTGGTCTGAAAATCTTGGAAGACTCTAATGTAGCTATTATGGCAAGAATACATTCCGAAGAATATTTGGCAGTTTTGTTGAGTAAGGTTCATCCTACTGCTCTTGGTGAAGGAAGTAGATACATGGTGCTCTACATTGGCTTGTAGAGAAAGGGCAGCTTCATCAGAAGCTTCTGACACCCAGGCAGTAGCCTGCTAAGGTATATATTTTTTTGATGTGTGATCTGCATTTGAGCAAGCCGTCTTGGGTGTTCTCGCATACGTGATGCGGCAGTGCTTGCTCCTGCTCTCATGTGGCTTGCTGTGTTGCCACTTAGTTGTCACTGAGTTTCTTGGAGATAACTTTATTTTCAGTGATGTATATTGATACTCTTTAGGTTAAAGGTTCACTATTGATGGAAGTTTTTTATTATCAAAAGGTGAAACGTCTTGTAACTCACTAGACTGCTAAAGATGCCAAACTTTTAATGCTGTCACTGTAACAGCAAATCTTTAGTTGTGCCTGACATTCATGTCACTGGA